CAGCCCTCACCTGGCAAACACCTCCCTATAGTCTGGATGAAGCCACGGTGTCGTTCTTACCTGCCCACGTTAATTAATCTGTCTGCTACCCTTTCCATAATGTCCCCTGGTACTGAGTCTACTAGCACTACCTGCTGCCTTGATGCTCCTAGTACTACAACTGTCCCCACAATACTAGGCCTACCTACTGTCCTGCTACTAGGCCTACCTACTGTTCCCCTGGCACTAAGCCTACTTACTGCCCTGGTGCTACTAGGACTGACTACCTGCTATCCCCGTGGCACTAGGCCTAGCTACTGCCTTGCTGCCACTAGGCCTAGGTACTCGCAATAGGCCTACAGGAGGGAAATATTCGCGAATTTAAGGGGCCATAAAACCTTGGTTGTGTGGTTTTGGTCCAGCCCTCCTCTGATGCTGCTCCAGTGCCTCTTGTATATGACTGGAGGGGGAGGAGGGGGAGGGGAGGGAGGAGGGAGGGGGTGGGGAGGATGGAAAAGGCGCGGGGGGTGAGATGAGGTAAAGGAGAGGTGGATGTTGAGGGCCTGATGAAAAGGAACAGAGAAAGAATAGGAGGAGGAGAGCCCAGAGGATGGCATAGGAAGAGGGAGTAAGGATGAGATGGGAGAAGAAAGGGGAACAAAAATGGTAAAGGAGAAAGGAAAGACAAAGATCAAAACGTACGAGAGGTGAAGAGGGGGGAAGAAGAGGAAACAGGAGGAGGAGGAAGGAAGGATACAAGGGGAGGGGAAGAAGGAGATGAAGAGGGAGGGGAGGAGGAGGGGAGGAATGAAGGAAGGATACAAGAGAGGGAGAGAGAACACCTCACCACACAATACCACAACACAAACTAACACGTCAAGGTATAATGTGTGACTTATAAATGCCTGCTAACACTGACTCTATAACCACCAGGTAACACCACTCATAAATCCAGGTTTGCGTCTTCAGCCCAATGCCTGTCTCCTGCATGCATGACTGACTGAACAATGTTTTTTCTTTCCACCACGAGGGAGTTTTTTTTTCTGATTTTTATATGTATATTTCCTTCATAGTAATACATTCCTTCCCTCTCTCTTTGATTCCACTCCATTCCACTCCATCCACGTGACCCAGTAAGCTCTATGGAGAGGTGACATTGCTTCTCCACTATAAACTTCACTCCACATACTCCACTCTACTCCACTTCCATTACCTACTAGCCTACAGAGTACAGCTGGTGATGGTAGTGGTAGGGAAGTGGTGGTCGTGGTAGATGGTGGTGGTGGTGATCGTCGTGGTAGGGGTACTGATGGTGATAGTAGTGGTGGTAGGGATGGTTATAGTGGTAGGGATGTTAGAGATGGTGGTAAGGGGAGGGAGCGGGATGATGGTAGTAATGTTATTGTTGCTAGTGGCATAAAATCATGGTAGTGGGTAAAGAGACGCAGCTGTTTAACCCACCATGTTAACAAATTAAAGGGGGGGGGGTGATGGTGGTAGTGGGGAGGCATGAGGGGGAGGGGTTGATGGTGGCGTAGTGGGGGCAAAGGATGAGAACATTGTGGACCCAGGGAAAACGCCATTATTACACACACACACACACACACACACACACACACACACACCAAATCACTCCTTTACAACTTGTTATACAGAAAATAAGCAAAAACCTTTCTACATGGGGACTCCTGGATACTGCTCTTGCCTTTTCTATTAACTTTTTCCTCTTGCCCTTTCTATTTTATAAGTGGGTGGTTGGGTGGGGGTGGGGGGGGAGTTTGGTGGGTGGTTGGGGGTAGTAGCTTAATATATGGCAGGGTGGGTGGTTGAAAACTAATTAGTGAACTAACTGGCGAGTAGATTTGGTGGCTGGCTGTTGATTAGTTGACTAGCTGATTGGGTGGAAGACTGGTTGGGTGGCGGACTGGGTGGCTGGGTGGCTGGCTGAGAGTGTCGGTGGGTGGTGACTGGAGAGGATGGTCCAGAGTCTGCTGCTGGTGGTGGTGGTGGAGCTCACCTGACGACCCAGCACCACCTCCCGCAGTGGCCGCCTGGCACCCTCCTCCCCCACCAGCAGAACCTGGCACCCCTCCCCCACCTCCTAACACTCCCCCACCAGCGCCTGGCACCTCCCCCCAGCACCACCACCTTGGATGTTGCAGTCGTCGGGGCGGCCAGACACGGCTCTCTCTCCACGCTCCTAAGCCTTCCTCTTTAACAATCCCCGATAGCCAATGGCTCTCTCTCTCTCTCTCTCTCTCTCTCTCTTTGTCTCCCGCACTTTGTTTCTCTCTCTTTGCTTCCCTCAGCCTCATCCCTTTCTTCTGTCTCTGCTCATTATTCTATCTTAGTCTGACATACACACACACATTCTTGCGTGTGTATGTTAGGGTGAGACAGTAATGGTGGAGGGAGGGAATGTTGGAGGAAGGGGCAGTGGTGGAGGGAGGGACAATGGTGGAGAATGAGATGGACAGCGGTGGAGGGAGGGAAGGATAAAGATAGAAAGAGGGATAAAGGTGAAGGGATGGAGGGAGAGTGGAGGAGGGAGGTGTTCCCTAAAACAAGTTGGCAGGGTCGGGGAGGGCCAGACCAGAGTGCCACTGCCGGGGTCGACGACCTGACCTAGATAGTGCCACTTCCTCCACACCTCTCCCTCCTCCCCCTACACTCCCTGACACCACTACCTACACCATCACCACTTCCTTACACCACTACCTACACCATCACCACTTCCCACGCCACCATCAACACTTCTCATACCTCGACACGTCTCATCACCACTTCCTACACCACTATAACACCACCACCACTTCCTGACACACTACACACATCACCACTTCCTACACTGACTACCTCCACCACCACTTCCTGACCACTGTCGCCACCATCACCACTTCTCACACCACTGCCTCCACCACCAATTTCCTGACACCACTAACTACTTACTTCACCTTGCTGAGAGAATGGTGAAATTCGGGGTAATAGGGAGAGGTTGTGGGGAAGAGCATGTGGGGGGCAAAGGGGGGGTGGGGAGGTATGTAAGGAGGGTGGGGGGAGGTGGCCAGGGGGGAGGGGGGAGGAAGCCGGTGGGGGAGGGGGAGGAAGCTGGTGGGGGGAGGGGGGGGGAGGTGTCGTGGGAGGGGAGGTGTCAGGGGAGGGGGGAGGTGTCGGTGGGGGGAGGGGGAGGTGCTGGTGGGGGGAGGGGGGGAGGTGTTTGTGGGGGGGAGGGGGGGGGAGGTGTCGGTAAGGGAGGTGGGGAAGGTGCTTGCAGGAGGGGGAGGTGTCGGTAAGGAGGGGGGAGGTCGTAAGGAGAGGGAGGTGTTTGCAGGGAGGGGGGAGGTGTCGGTGGGGAGGGGGGGAGGTCGGTAAGGGAGGGGGAGGAAGCGGTGGTGGAGGGGGGAGGAAGCCGGTATGAGGAGGTGTCGGTAAGGGAGGGGGTATTAGTGGGCTCTGGGCATGCACAACGTCAATACATTCCAAACATACTTTACACAGGTTCGAAACAACACCCAAACACGTTTTTTCATCGTGCCAAACAAGTACCAAACTTGTTCATTGCAATCGTTGGTAAATAACTAATGTACTATTTCATTTTCTAGGTAAACGTTTAATAATTCTTACAACTTAATAACTTCATAACATTTTCTGGCAACATTTGTCCTTTGTTATGTGGTCAAGTTTGTGTAAATATCTTGTCAGTAAAATGTTGGATGGCATTGTGTTACATAACATTATTAATAATATATAATTACACTTTGTATAAACATTATTAACACAATCTTGACTTAACAAACAAATTAACATTCCTAACACTGTCATTTCTCCCATCGTTGTGAGAAGCATAGTGTCAATTTGTTGTAATACGTGCCTAACAAATTCAATATATATATATATGAGGGTTGTCTCTCTATGTACCAAACAGTTTTGTAACAGCATAAATGACCACCACCACTACCGTCAGTTCAAAGAATAACACCTATAGATTTCAATCGACTCTAAGAGCGTTTTGACATTCTCTATACCCCAAACTCATTTTTAGATTCGTGTTTTGACGATGGGGAAACAAAATACAAACACAACTACACAATTCATTACAAAAATTACCTAAAACAAACAATCCAGCCAATGGGACTCCCACACGTCAGCGCTAAATATAATAATGACCGCTGCAGCCCATTAATTAAACTGCTAGACTTTGTTTTTTTTTTCATTTATCACATCTCATAAGCGTCGGTCTGAAGGTGTGTCCAAATATTCATAACGTGTCTCCCCTTTTTTTTTTCTTCCATCTAATCAATATTGAATTGGTAGGCCGGCAGAATAGTTCACTACAGGACCTAGTTATCGTACACCAACACTTCCATACCTTCAAATGTCGAACACCAATCAAGGACGCACACAAACATACATACATATACAGTACATACACAAGCACACACAAACATTCACTGACTAATTCACATATACTATACTTATAAGATACATCAATTAAGACCAACTTGTAAAAATTAAATTAATTTGGGGGGGACACCTTGTACAAATAGAGTTAATACTGTATATGTGTTTCTATTTAAACAAACAACAACAACAGATAATAAACACAATATCGAACAAAAAAACATTAGTTAATAAAAAAAACATTGGTACAGTATATGATCTTTTACTAAACATCATCAGGTCAAGTGGGCCCCAGACCACATAGGCCCCAAGTACTAATGGGGTCCAATCCTAACTGGACTATATTCTAATTTGCCCCAATCTTAAATCATCTCAATCTTAATCTGTTCCAATCATAATCTGCCCCAATCACAATCTGCCCCAATCACAATCAGCCCCCAGTCATAATCAGCCCCCAATCATAATCAGCCCCCAGTCATAATCAGCCCCCAGTCATAATCAGCCCCCCAATAATCAGCCCCAATCATAATCAGCCCCAATCGTAATCTCAAAATGACCAGATTAAGTTGGGACCCTATTATGTATCTCCTGCCCCCCCCCCCAAAAAAAAAAATTCTTACCTTAGTGAATGATGAATGTTGGGGTGGTCTTGCAGTGGGCGTTGTAGGGGTGGGTGGGTGAGTGGGTGGTGTGGGTGGTGGTCGTGGACGGTGGTCACTACACGGGTGGAAGGTGTGGGTGGAGTCTTTTACACACTCCACTTCCTCCACATACATATCTGGAAAAAAAAATCAAAGGTTATTCATTGACTTTTTTTAATTTCTGTGCGAGGAGGAGGAGGAGGAGGTGAAATAGAGAAAAACGAGAAGAAATTTAGAAGAAAAACAAAGAGAAAAGGTGATAGATACAGTAAATTTAGATATATAATATAAAAAAAACATCAAATTTTACCAGAAAAATAAACTACTGACCAGATATAAGAACTATAGCATAATATAACTTCACGATCATATACGGTATAGTGTGGGGGTGATTGAAGGTTATATTGCGTATATTGGGATAATGACGCGATATTGTTTCATTGTTTTTCTTTTACAGTCATCTAATAAATCCAGTGTCGACTTTATTGAAGTTCATTCAAATTCATAAAGTTTCTTGAGAACCTCAGTGGGAGCTACAGGTGGTCGAGTAACACCCCGCAGCTGATGCCTCAACAAGTGTACGTACACCTCATTCAGTCACTTATTTACACACGGAAATAAACAAACAAAATATTTCACTTGTACCCAAAAAAATAAATAAATAAATACAAATCCCGTGATCATGTCAGTCTCGCGCCATGCCATATTATCAACAAATTCTGACTTCATGTGAAATAATCTTGTGTTTACGTCTTCAAATATCAATAAGTGTTATTTTGGTGTAGGTTTACACAGTTCACCTACTGCATTACATCAACCTCATGACGTACACACATCCATAGATAACAATCATGAGACAGGTGAGGTGGGTGGTACGGGTGGAGGTGAGGGTGGCAGTCAACCTGGTGTTCCTGGTGGGGTCGTGGTCCTCCTGACGAGTCACAACATAAGTAATTGGTCCCGCAGATCTAAGCAAGGCTGCTCTGGCGTGTGCGTGCGCGCGCGTGCAGCCGGTGGCGGGGCGGGCAGAGCTGATTGGTCAGGTCGAGCCGCCGCCTCATTGGCTGAAGTGGGGCGCGTTGCCAAGTCTCCTCGGGCACACAAGGTTCGATGCTCACCTTCACTGCGATAAACTCCAAACTGTGACATAACTGGGTTTATATACTAACATACCCGCGTGTTTGTGTTTCGTGATACATGTGAGGTGACCACATGCCCTGGCGCGCCTGCCCCACCCACCCACGCCCGCGCACATGCTGGGAGCGTGGCGGGCGGGCGCCTCGTGGGTGCCAACGCCACCTACCGCCCGTCATTACCGCACGTCGACGCCGGGTCGCTCATCAACACATCAACCACAAGACTAAGAACCTCACTAAATATTTTGGCCAGGAGGGTGGCCACAACCCACACCAGGCTGGCCACACACCCTACACCACAGCTACCTGACCTAACCCACCCTTGTCACCACGACCCCCCCACCACCACCACCCCCCTACACTACCACCACCCTCCTCACCGGCACTCTCGCCCATAGCAATCACCTGTGTCAAATATTTCACAACACTCACAAGAGGATGAACACGGGGTAGGACCTGTATGGTGGACAAGGTGCCGTATATACCTGGGCTCCACCACTCCGGCTCACAGGTCTCTCTGCCACACTCCAGGTCCTCGCTCCACCTACTCAACATGTAATCGGGTCTGGACCTCAGCGGCAGCGTTATGTGCACAGGAGACAAAGGACTGAACATTTTCGCCAAAATTACGACGACACAGCAAGTAGCGGTCCTCGGCCGAGCCCTTGCATGTGCCCTAATTACTGCAGGCAATTAACGTGCACGTGCCATAATTTATTCGAGCAATAATCTGCACACGCCATCCATAGACTACCTCATGTCACGGTCTATTGGTGCAATAATAGTGGCAGCATAATATATACAGATAATACTCTACACATGACGGGCCCAAACTTTCTACAATTCTTCACTTTCAAAACTTAATATTTCATCCCAAGTAATAACCCATTAGTGAAATTATAGAGGCAGCATAACATGTACATATCAATCACCACACGTATAGTACAGTGCATTATAGCTACACAAACTACAGTATATTTCTACATGAGCGAACGAACCCTCCATCACACGAGCGTCAGCCCACACCTCCACTTTTAATATCATCAAACCTATCACAACATAATCCACAAATGAAATAATAAAAGGTACGGTATACATCAGAGTACAGTTGTAAATAACTCTTATATAAATATTCCTACATAACGGAATGAAACAGGGATGCTTCTTCACCTTTAAAAATGTGTAAATAAATACTATAAAGTAAAGGTGGCTCTAATGGACACTTTTAATGATGAGTTTACTGGTGACTTTTTATTTATCATTCTTACTCAGCCTCTACCGTGGTCACAGCGCCTCACACTGAGTTAAAAATATCAACGTCGTTAATAAAAGTAATTGGGATTTGTACATAACTCCTAGGTGGGTTTATTTTCTACTCCAAGTCTTATTTATCCCTCGTGTGTTGTGTAGAGAGAAACTATACTTAGACAATATATATAATCTTTTAATATCTAGCATTACTTTCTCTTATTAGTTACTGAAAGGATACAACCTTTTTCTTCTTAGTTATATCTTACTAAATTACAATACTTTCTAAATCATCTAGTCAAAATCGAATTATTATATAGTCACCCTCTATGTTAACTGTCTTTGATATTAGTAAACAGGCTATATGGTCAAGTCAATTTGTAACTGTATTAGAAGTTACAGTTGAACACCTAATATGGGCCAGTTAGCTCAGGGGATTTTTTCATTCTTTCCCAATTTCTGTGTTTGGACAAAAAAATATTACTTTTTATACAGAGAAAGTTGTAATAGTATAAAAAAATAAACTACTTATTTTTTCCTGCAGTACTTCCATAAAACAAACTTGAGTAAATCACAAACTATTATAATATACAATACACAAGTCACCTGAAGTTGTATAAAATAAACTTAAATATTCTCAAGTAATACAAATAAAATAACAACACAGGACACGTGAACAGTAAGCAAGGCATTAATAACTCTACAATATCATACAACAAATGTTTACAATAAATTCCCCTTAACTGACAGACATTTAATAAAGCAAATATTAAATAAAAACATTACGTCACATAATTTATGCTACAGTTTATATATAAAAATACTATTACGTTCACATGTACCGTAGCGTACTAGTTTAATGCAAAAAAAATTACCAAGGAATTATTTAATATAGTATACCATGTCAGATAATTATTGATATATATAAAATGCATAACACACTACACACATACATGCATATATACATACACACACACATACACATACATACACAATTTCTCAACAAAGATATAGTATTACTGGCATCTTAAAATGTTTGAAATATTTACACTTAATGACTTAAAATGAATTTATTTTTCATTATAATTATTGACACGAGACCACATTTCTTCTTATTTTTATTATTATTATTACTCTATTATTATTATTATTATTATTTATATTATTACTTTTATTACTATTATTATTATTTATATTATTGATTACAGACGATATTGACAAATCATTATACAGTTCTCCACATTGTTATTTTCAACTGTATCACATATCAATATTTTATCCTTTATAATCGTCATCATCAATACTTTTACCACTACAAAGCATCAACTTTTTCGGCTACAGTACAAATACATAAAAAATCTTAATTACAGCCGGGCAATACGTGAATACATAATGCATTTCTTTTTTGCTTTAATAAGAATAAACTCTACAGAATCCAATTTATTTTCTCACGACAAAACCGAATAAAAGTATTTAAATAAACAAATAATACACGAAAAAAAATATTAAAATAAATATAAATAAGATAAAAAAAAAAAAAAGTAATACGAAATAAAAGAACAAAAAATAAATACGTTAAATAAATATGCAAATAAAAGTCATAACAAACACACAATGTCCTTTACCTTCCCTTTCTAAACCCCATATAAGGATTTATCTTTTCAGTAGTACGACACAAATATATACTTGTAGCTGAAGGTCAAAGCCGTATAGTATAAAGCTAAAACCAAGGTAGCAATGTTAGCTGCCAGATAGTACAGGTAATTACCATATACTGAAGGTAATACTATCAAAGAAATACTTCATAAACATCAAAAATTTTTAATTATACAGTGAATATTAAAAATGGATTCGTAATAGCATATAGTCCCCCCCCCAGCAGGCGAGGTACTGAGGGAAGCCAAAAAGGAAGGTGATTCTTCAGGGGGTGTCGCTGCTATACCTAGACTTTTGCACCACCAATAATCCCATTGACCACCAGTTCCCCCGAGAGGAAACAATAAACGACAAGAAGAATAAGGATGATGAGATTGTCAACCATCTCTCCTGTAGCGATGATATGAAACTTGAGGTAGAACTTAACTTACAAGAGCTGAAACTCACAATACAAAGGCAAAAATACAAGTATAGGTTATATAGTACCAACAAGAGCATGGAACTTGGTACATGTGGATATTTAGAATCTCAAATGATGTAACTACCAAACACCTGAACACAACACAAGACCTACAGTCCTACGCCTATACAAGACCTACACCTACACAAGACCTACACCTACACAAGACCTACACCTACACAAGACCTACATCTACACAAGACCTGGTGTATGTTAACAATCATAAAGACAAAATCAAAACATATGAGAATACCTGAGAAAGAATTCACGAGGTATGGATCTGATAGTACCTGGGCTGTGTGCATGGTAAGGTATGGTAGGTAGGTAGGTGGGGGGGGGAGCATGGTGGGGTTTGGTAGGCAGGTGGAGGGGGGCATGGTGAGGTGGGGTGGGGAAAGAGGAAGGGGGGAAGGAAGAGGGGGGGGGAGGAGGGCAGCGGTGATGGACTAGACAAAAGAATTGAACGAGGTAACGAGGAACACTAAGAGAACTATGACAATAAACAAGGCAGATGTAGGTAACGTGTACAGTGAAAAGATAAGAGAGATTAATAACAAGATACACAATATGCTAATAAAACGTTGAGTGACTAGGGAGAAAAAAATGCTGAAAAGTAGGTTTAATTGAAACATATGAA